ACTTGAGGTCCTCACGATTTTATGTTCACGTGTTTTGATCCTTTAAGTTTGAATTAAAATCATAATGGTCCTTGAGTGACCATTTATGAAAGCATATGAAACTTCAGTGACCGTTTCTGCAAGTTTTAAAACTTCAGCGACCATTTTGTAATTTTGATGTAAGTTCAGTGACCGTTTGTGAAATTAACCCAAATATAAATGGATGCAAATGATTAAACCAAGTGCGAATGTAATTGACTATGTGTTTGCATTCAGACAGTGAATATATAGTTGAAGCAATCTATATAATTGAAAGGAAATTAAGACTTAAATTAATAAACCGCAAAAGTTCTTACAACATACTAACAAAATACTATATAAGCTACATGAACTACATTAATTACGTGAACTCCGCTATACATAAAATACGACAAGTTTAATGAATATTACATAAACGTGGATTTCGACAACTCCAACAAAGGACTTGACACATTGTCATTGTTTGAAATAATTCAAGGAACGATTCCCTTTCCTTTTCTGTTGTCCTCCGTAACTCTTTTTCCCATACGTACAATGACGTTGAAGGATATCTCCACCTCTTGTTTTTCTGAGATTTGAGCACATGTCTTCAACGTACTCTACAGATCTTCAATCGGGTCTATAGCCTTTTCCCTAGTAGATTATTTTCGTTTTGCCACTTGAAATGACCACAATCTAAAGTATAGCAAAAGAATAATCAGCTTATGTTTGATGTATTTCTCTCCACCTCCACACATTTCTCGATGCCCTCGCTACATTTTGTGAAGTGTTTCTTTGTCGGACAATCAGACAAGAAGTGCGAAAAATATTTTTCCTTCATTTTAAAATGTGAAAATAAAATAATTTGATATAAATCATCATTAAGAACGAGACGTACTAATTAATGGAAGGTTGAAGATACGAAATAATTGCTACAATGAGCAAAGATTAAATGACTTAACTGCAATTAAAACTAGTGTATCAATGAATGGTGGTGGGAGGTGGGGTTGGTTGAAGTCTAATTGGGCAGACTTCCATCCACTAAGGACTAGGGTGCAATAAAAATAATATGTGAGGGATGCCAAAATTAATAGATTAATGACTAGTTTGATACTAAGTCAATAGATCGTGGACTAACAGTGAAATCTGCTAAAGAATATTTTTATGGGAAATTTGGCCAAATAGGCAAGTTGGATAAAATGTTTGGAAAAATGGCCTTTGACCAACATTAATAATTAAAAAAAATTCAAGATATTTTAATTGACCAAATGACAAAATTATCCTTTAATTAATATTAAAATATTCACCCAACTTTCCTCATTTTCACCTCATTCCTTCTTCTTCATTTTCACTTTGAAACCATTTTCTCTAAATTGGAAACTAACGTCTACTTCTTCACCTCAATTTCTTTCGCATTTCAAGATTACAACAAATTTCTTCTTCCATTCAGGTTTACTTCACACCACTTCATCCCTCTTTGTTACAAATCGGTATAGTAAAAATGTAATTTTTTCTTCAATTTTTTTCGTTTTGAAATTTGATTTTGTGCTTCAATTGGAGTAGAAATAACATGAAAAGTATAAAAAAGAAATTATTTATGATTTCATAGTTTATCTGTATAATTTTAGTTATGTTTTTTTAACATTGATGAATTCTGGATACATTTGGAATTTTAAAGATAATGGTTAACAAGGAATTCATTTATTAGCATTGTTATAAACAAAAAATTGTGTCGATAACATGATAAATAAATTACTAATGAAACTTATCAATGAAATCCCCTTGTTGTTTTGATATTAATCATAAATACGTGATGTAATGGATTAGTGACTTGTTTCTCATATTATTTCTCTTTTAGCCGTAAATTTGAGTTTTTTGTGTTTATTTTGTATTCCTTGTTACAGTAATAGCAGTCGCTGTAGTAGAATTTAGATTATTGAAGTTCACTAATTTAGAGGGGGTATTTGGAGGGTGTTGGAGTGAAGTTATTCAATTATATAGAGAAGATATGTACGTGGATGTTTGGATGTGGATTAAGGATTGAATTTTTGGAGGAAAGACTGAAAGTCATTAAAAGTGAGTAAGGTAAAAGCGTTGATGCAGTATCTTCTCGCTCGAGTGGAAAAAAGAGACAATATTTATCAGTGGCAGGAAAATCTTACCTTTAACCTCTTAAGCAAAGAACAGAAGCAGGAAGGGCACCTCTTGTATCTTGTAGAAAAATTATTTTGAATTCCTAAACATGAAACAATACCTCTTTTGTGGGGAAACACAGCACTACAAAATATAGACACTAAGATTTTGATCATTCAATACCTTTGAATTCTAAATTCTAGTTTTATATTTTATTCTTTACTTTTTCTAATAGTTTTTGTTTATTTGCTTGGCATTAGCTCATTAAGGATTGATTAATTTTCGGACATTTGCTACGATATTATATTTGTTGGTTGGATATTCTAATGGTTCAACATTGGCAGGCCATGCTTGATGTCGACAAAGAAGTTGGAGCTAATGCTATTTCTCTTTATTGATGTCAATAGATTTGATTTGGTCTTTTCAAATTTTAGTATCTTTTATTCATTGTCTTTCTGTTATTACTCATTTAAGATGAATTATTTTAACGTGTATATCAGGTGCTCATTGAATGCAAGAATTATTTTAACGTATATATCAGATACTCATTTATTAATGTTCTTATGCATTTCTATTAGAATGATATAATTGAATTATGAAAAGATGTAAGAGAACGACACAAACTTATTCATCAGAATGGCACAAGTGCCATTACTATGTAGAAAACGACACTTGTACCGTTATTGAGATGAGAATGTCTATTAGAATAGTATAAATATCGTCATGTTTGTAAATATAAGTCCATGAGAAAGATACTTGTGCCGTTACTGGGTTATGAAAAGATCTACAAGAACAACACAATTAACGTCATAACAATACACAAACTTGGTCATGAGATGCCCTTGATTTAAATGTTCTAATACATTTTTATTTGAACGGTATTACTGAGTTATGAAAAGATCTAAGAGAACAGTACAAGTGACGTTACAACGATACACAAACTTGTTCATGAATTATGTCGTTACTGAGATGAGAACTTCTATCAAAAGGGTATAAATACCTGTTTGTAAATATAAGTTTATGAAAATGACACTTGTGCCGTTACTGAGTTATGAAAAGATCTACAAGAACGACACAATTGACGTTATAACATACACAAACTTGGTCATAAGAACGGCAAGTGTCGTCACTGTGTAGAAAGTGACACTTGTGTCTATAAACACGAGTATAAGCAGTTATGACCCGTCTGAGCCCCAATGATCGATAAGTTGAACTCATTAAAGTTGCAGGAAGGAGATGCTATTTACAATGTTCAAGAGATATGCTCATTACTTATATTTTCTAACAAATGTAGATTATGACTTGTGATTTCATCTCTGTATATCATATAATCTATTTCAATTTTACTGTTATTTGTCATATAATCAACTTTTCTAACTTTCTTAAGTTATGGGGTTTAATGTTTGAGTTCGTTGCATTGGAAAAGAAACAAAATATTTGAGAAATCAACAAAAAAACACGAGTGTCGTTAAACGACACATGTGGCGTTCTATCAATTAACATGAATATAAGCAGTCACAACCCGTCTGAACCCCAATAATCTATAAGCTGAACTCATTAAAGTTGTAGAATGAACATGCCGTTTACAACATTCAAGAGATATGCTCATTACTTATACTTTCAAACTTGTGATTTCACCGTTTGATATCATATATTCTATATCAATTCTTCAATTAGTTGTCACACAATCAACATTTTCGACTTTCTTAAATTAGGGGGTTCAATATTTGACGTTGTTCCGGGGTAAAGTAGAAAAATATTGGAGAAATCAACAGAACGGTACAAGTGCCGTTTAATGACCCTTGTGTCGTCATGTCTGTAAACACGAGTATAAGCAGCCACGGCCCGTTCAAGCCACGATAATTGATAAGCTGAATTTATTTAAGTTGTATGATGGACATGCCGTTTACAAGATTCGAGAGATATGCTCATTATTAATACTTTTAAACAAATTTAGATCGAGACTTGTGATTTCACCGTCTGTTCGTTTACATGAAAATTGTCCATTAAAGAGATATTATTTATTACAATTGGGGATATAATTTATTTCCATTGTAAAAAAAAAAAAAAGCCTATAAAACCAAATCTCACCAAATTGGTGGGAATTGATTTTCCTCAAAATCGTGGAATCGGAACCGTGTGAGGCAAAAGATGGAAAATGAATCGCCAAGAAAATTTTCCCAATCAAACATGACTTTTGGTGGAAGATGGAATTTCATTTCCAAGTTTTATGGAAAAATTGTCAAATCAAACAAAGCCTAAGAGCTTTGATTAAAATCCAGCCATTCTCTGGCTTGGCACATTTGTCTCGTGTTCAGCGTTCTTTACTTCTTAGAAGTATATGTTTGGTAGTTGATATGTAATATTTGAATACGATTGAATAGTATAGCAAGATTTTGGCTTCAATTTCTATGTGAATGCTATTGAGTATTACCTAATTCTTAATACATATGTTAAGACATTTTTCCTCGTGTGCATTTGGCATATCGCATTGGAATGGGAATAAGATTATGAAGAATATTGTATTTTTATAATATGGCATATGGTAAACTTATATATTTTTCAAATCTGATTGAGAACAATTTGTGGGTTTAAAAATAATTAACTAATAATCAACACACAAATGTTTTATAATTTAACATTATTCTGCCCCCATTGCAATTCTTTAATTTTTATTTTTACTCGTAATTTTGTACTATGTTAAACTTAAGAGAATAGAATGTTCTCTTCGTAGTTCCAAAATTGCAACAAAATCGACGTGGAATAAATGTTCAAAATTTGAATTTCTTTCATATTTCCTTCGTTTAATTAAAATTCTGAATCAATTTTTGCTCTTTATTATCGTAAATTAAATTTTGACACATATATTGGGAGGTAACAGCTTGTGCAAAAAGAGGAAAAAGATATCTTTCTTAATGCTAAAAATAATTTACTCATCTAAATCTAAACTTATAAAAAAGTAAAAAAGGAGAATTTTTGAAAAAAAAGTGGGTATAACAAGAAGTTAGAAATAAATGAACAAAGAGTAAAGAGAATAGTTTCATTATTTAACTTCTACCAAATGTTGGTCCCACGTTCAACTTTTTCTTGAATCCTTTAATGTTGTCGTACTCAAACATTTGAATTTCACTTCACACGATTCAAAATTTAATCATTGTTAAACTTTCGAACGTTGCATTCATCACAGCCTTCTCGAATTTGAAATAGAAATATCACGAGCTTACAGAAAGCGACAGCCCCTTGACTCCACCCCAATAGAAAAACTTTGGGGTGAAGAAAATTACAGCTTGGAATAGTACAGTGTGCCCAGTACCCACTCTTGGCCCATAATAAATTGAAGAGAACTTGAAATCTTGCTGTGTCCCAGAAGGGTTTCGGGAGAATCTAAGTACTATTTATCTTTCTTTGTGTATTTTTTTTTTTTTTTTTTTTTNTTTTTTTTTTTTTTTTTGTGTTCTCTCTTTTGTAACATGACTTAGTTTGGGGACACTGTGATTTTAGATTTGGAGGGGATTGAAGAGCTCTGAGGATAAATGTTTACTGAGGGTCTGGATAAGAATGCCCTTAAATGGGTTAGTGAGGTCAGTATTACAAATCTACTTCGTCTTTGTATATCTGTAGCTTTTGTTATCGGTTTTTTTTTTTACAGATGTTGATTTGAGGATTTTTTGATCGGTCTGCATAAGTATTTGATTTTTCTTTTTCTCAATTTTGCTTGTTAGAAGGGAACTGGTACAAGGTTCCGTGGCCCAAGTTCTTGAATTTAGAGTTTTTGAAAATTCAAATTCACAATTGGGGTTTCTTAATCCAATTCCACCTGCAGATCTTCAATATACAGTTTATGGCCTTTTCATTTTCCTTTTTTCTTCTTAGGACTTAGGAGTGGGTTGGAGTAGCTATGGAAATATTGGTTGTTTGATCTGAATTGGCACTTGCGTTACTTGTTGATGATCTTGAATTCTGAAACTCAAGGTTCACAAACTGAATGCTAATTCAAGGATTTTTTTTTTTTAATTATTGGTATTTAATTGCAGTCTACAAATGATTCTCACTACTTAATTTGTTAAACGACGTGTGGGGTTTGTTAATTTGTTTTCTTTATTTTTTATAATACAGGGTTCTGCCAGTCATAGTAAGGAAAGTTCTTATATACCCAATCAGAGACCTAGAATAGATCCTATTTCTAGTATTGGAAACAGAGGCCGTGGTATTGGACTGCCTCCACCATCCAAATTTCAGAGTGGGCACTTGCCAGGAGTGATTTCAATGTCTGGAGTCATTCCTGGTGATTCTGAAGGAAGTAGATCAGTTTCTGATAATGATATGACCACAGACACAGAGGAGGAAGTATATGGGGGAAGATATTCACTTGACTCGTCACCACAAAATGATAGAATTCTCAGCAGAAGTGCTACTGCTCAAAGATACTACAAGCCCGTTCAAAGGCGTACACCACAGTATGCAAGTGAGAGTATGTTTTCTGATGATGTTAGTTCGTCAAGGGAAACTAATAGAGGGTGTGGGCAAGTGGACGAGAAACTGATGAGGAGAGCCAATAGATATCCAGAAAATGCTTACTCAGAGGATGGATCTTCTTATTCTGATGGAAGCTCTGAATTTTCTACCACGCAAATCAGGAGCACCAATGGAACTTTACCGCAGAAAAGGGCTTACTTGTCAGACGGTTCTGCATCTAGGATTCCTTCTGGAATGGATGCACACCATGCTACTGGAAAGGTAACTTTTGCAGTTGCTAGTTTTCTTAGAGTATTATTTTTCTTTCTTCCGTTGGAGGAACGGGGGTGAGAAGTTTCGCTTGTTAAATGAAAGGGTATGGATTGTTTATCAGAAAACATTTAATAGGAAATGCGAAGGCATGACTTGTTTTTCTCCATTTCTCTGTGTAGGTTCATCTCGTTTAGACTTTAGTCATGTAAGATGACTAGTTTTCATTTCACTCACTTTTTGGGTCCTTCTTAAGATATTTCTTCTTTACTTAATACATATTTTGTTAGTGTAACTTAGACAATTAAATTGGTGCAGAATTCTTATTTTTCTCTGCTCATCTTTTACCATGTCTGTAACGATGTTACTGCTTGCTTTGTCATAAACTTTTTAAATTACAGAAACTAATGGAAAAAAATGAGTCTGGTTCTTTATTTTCTTAGTGAGTTGTTTCAAAGCTCCAGTTAGACTTGGTAATCTTATCATAGACGTATCATTCTTAGCTTATCTTTCCGGGAATATTTTGCTGGGAGAACAAACATTTTATTGCCTTCAATCATGCCATCTTTTAGAGTTTATAGTTTTTCTTCTTTGCAAATGGAAACATAAACTTCTAATGTTATGTGAATCGTGTCTTACCAACAAAATAATGAACTAATTTATCAGAATGAAAGAGACTGTGGAATGACTTCTGAGTAATATTGGAAAAATGAAATAATCCAAGGTAATTAGGATGCTGATATTGAAGATTCTTGAGTAAAGAAGGCTTTGTTGAAGTTCAATTTGAACCCCTCTTTTCAACTGTTAAAAAATATAATGTACAACCCCTTCTCCTCCTAGTCCTGTGGCTGCTCTTAGGGTCAAATTATTTTACTGTGGCAAATGTTACATATACCTGTGTACCCATGTCCGCTATGGAATGCTTTGGTTATCTGCTCTAAGTCTTCAGATATGTAATTGAAAATTGATTTATTTCTCTGCCCTGAACTAGACTTTAAATCTGCTGCAAGGTTAATCTCAATTATTGGGATAAGTAAACACTAATTTGTAGCATTTGATTAAATTTGACAAATAATGTAGCTAACTGGGATATTATTGAAGGCATAGGATAATCTGCGTTCTTTCATTCTTATGTCTATGCAGATGCTTTGTGCATTTTGAATATGGTAGTTCCCTTCTAGGCTAATCTCTCTTTTGCAGGATGTGACTGTTGGGACTTTGCAGAACGAAAATCCTTGTGATGATATTCCCAGTGCACCTCCTTTCTGTGCTTCTGTTGGGGAAATTAAACAAGATAGAGAGCAAATTCCTGCCTATGGAACCCATCATGCAGAGTCTTCGGCAGATTCACATGCTTTTCGAGCTAAACCATGCACTTCCGTCGACATGTCTCCCAATACTCAAGAACAGGATAATGTACTGAAAAATTCGTCCTACATTCCTGTGAGGTTTGTATTATTTCATAGCATATTTTAGTACACCTTTTTTTGCATGATATGTATTGGAAAACTTGTTGATATGTTTTAGGGAAGACATTCCTCTATTTTTTTCGTTCAAGAAATTGCTCTCAGTGTATCAACCATTCTCTTATTACAGGACTGCTGTTGGGGTAGAAAGCTGTGTGACATTGGGTCCTCACCCTACCCGACGTCCAACTTTTCATGCAAGGTCTGTTTACCACATAGATAAATTTCCACTGTATATTAATACTTTTGAGTTGATCTTGTGCTTATTTTGATGACTGGTTTCAGCCCACTAGGTTCGTGGCATGCAGTGATTGCTTATGATGCATGTGTTCGGCTTTGCCTTCATGCTTGGGCTAAGGGATGTATGGAAGCGCCCATGTTTTTGGAAAATGAATGTCATTTGTTGCGAGATGCATTTGGGTGGGTTTTTTTTTTTTTTATTTTTTTTTTTTTTTTAAATGCATTATTTCCGAAGTTTATTTTTTTTCAACTATAAAAATGAAATATTTCTAAGCACTTCTAAGCTAATTATTGATGATGCTTCTCATTTCATCTGCAAAATCTGTGTTGAGCTTGAGTTCTCTTCCTGTATTTGGTTAAAGTTTGCAGCAAGTGCTCCTGCAGTCCGAGGAGGAAATGCTGGTAAAGCGCTCTTCAGAACTTCCCACTGAAGGGGCTGCCCCGAAACCCAAGAAAATGGTTGGAAAGATGAAGGTGCAAGGTATTATTTGTGGTGAATATTTAGCCTCACAATATACCGAGTAAAGAAACTGTCCTGAATTCTCTCCTATCTACAGTTAAGAGGGTAAAATTGGCTCTGGACCAACCTGAGGGCTGCAGTTGTTCTACCATCAAAGCTCCAAAAGTGAAAGTGGACAACATTCGACATCACTTACTCAATACGTGGTCAAAATTATCTTCTGGATGGCGAGCAGTTCACAAAATTGATTTTGCTCCTCGTGCACCAGCAAATGGTTCTTTTTCACACCAAAGCTTGGCATCTTTGCGGACAAGCACTCAATACCTAAAGCAAGTTTCTGGCCTTCTGAAAGTTGGTGTTACTTCAACTCTACGCAGCCGCTCATCATCTTATGAAGTTTTGTTGGGTGTGTAAGCTTCTTTTTTTGTCTACTTGTGAAATTGGACCTGCCATAATCTTTTTGTTATGTAATTTGGAAACAAAGCTACTTGGATTCCCAATGTCTCTGGATACATCAAGTGCTCTAAGCCTCATTTCAGCTGTTTGTCATTTTCCCAGTACATTCTGGTGTCCAACCGAACAAGATACCGTTCTAAGACACGCTATGCAAAGAATGTTGATCGTTTATAAATTTAACCATTGTGATTGATTGTTGGCTATTAGATATGAACTTGTTTGAGTTGATTTAATCATTTAATTGATGATATTACAACTGTGTATGTTCTCACCCAAGTAGCTCTTCATGAAATCAGAAACACACTCTTTTTCACTACGCCTTAAAAGCTCTGCTGAAGAAGATGCTATAAAAATGCAACCAGGATCCGGTGATTCCCATATGTTGTAAGTTTTCTTATCATTCTTTTCTCCTTCGTATGGTTTCTGTTTTAGTAATATATTGACGACTTTACAGCTGACTTTACAGCTTTCCAGATAGCTTAGGAGATGATCTCATCGTTGAAGTTTTGGATTCCAAGGGTAATCATTATGGTCGCGTGAATGTTCAAGTGGCTGCTATTGCTGACAATCCGGTGAAGTTGTCTAATTCTTCCTCTTTTCCTTTTGACATATGATGCATAGGGCAAGCGACTTCTGTTCAGCATTAATTCTCATATCAATGGTTTTTGCAGGGTGAAAAACAACGCTGGTGGCCTATTTATCGTGAGCCTGAGCATGAGTGTGTTGGCAAACTACAATTGTATATAAATTATTCAGCAAGTCTAGATGACAATAGTCATCTTAAGGTGCGTTGATCCATGCTTTTTCTTCCAGTTCTTCCTTTTGTTATATTTGGTGATTTTAGAATGAGCCGAAATGTCAAAGTCGTAACAGCAGATGGAAGCAGTTAAAGAACTGAAATTGTTTGGTCAGACATTGCTGATCTGTGTTTGTATTAAATATATATGAGATAGTATTTTAACAATTCTATGCTCCTTGCACAAAAAAAAAAAAAAAAAAAAAAA